AAGAGAAAGAAAGATGTTAGTTAGTATCCTGCTAAGTTACGAAAAATTGAAAATTGTCATGATTTTGCTTCCTTCCTCTGATTTTTCTGCAATGAAATTGTGCCATAGTCAATAATAAAGAGAAAGAATGTTTATATTTTCCCTTTATGGTTTTGTGCTCTAAATAATACACTTAATATGTCAATGTGACCAAATTAAGTTCTATAAGAAAAGATACAAAAAAAAAAGGAGATAGAAGTATTATTATAATAATTTTAAGTAAGTATGAGCTGTGGATTGATTTTGCATCAATGGATATTGATCCTAACATTTCAAAATGGTTTTATCCCCAAAAGAAGGGATGCTATATTTTCCTTCCGTTTGTGGGTTGTTTTTACAACTTTTGAAATTCTTTTATAATCTTTTTTCACATTCCTCTTTTTACCAAAATATTTGGATTCCTTAAGTTATTGATTCTAATTTATGCTCCTAAGAATGCATTTTGTAATGTGCACAAAACTATTTTGAGAAAAGGAAAAATTAAATTCATGTGCCGATTTGTAATGACAAAAAAATTACATAACTATTTTGATTTTATTTATTTCTTGTTTGTATGAAAACAAAAACTAAAGGACTAATTAGATGAGAGAAAAAGTCATGGGACTAATTTGGTGCAAAGAAAGTCTAATGAACCAACTTAATGAAAATGAGATGGTTTATTTCATGAAAAGAACTGATTTGGTGGAGATGCAAGAGAAAAGACCGCTCATTAACGGACCAATTTGAAGAAAATGAAAACTAAAGAACCCAAATTTAATGGTAATAAATTTAAAGGACTTATTTGGTGGAAATAAAACAGAAATGACTAACTCAATGAAAATAGGAAATGAACAACTACATTCATGAAAGACTTATTTGACATGGAAATTTGTGGTAAATGATGCTCAAATGAAAAGAATCCACAATAGATGATACCTTGTTGACTAATTTTGAAGTTAAAACTTGCAAAATACAGAAGGTGAAGCAAAATGCCTCCCTTTTGTCCTAGACACAAGAATCCTAACCTTACAGGTGGGTTTTCTAGGGAAACATGTCCTATGGGTAGTTTTTCTCTAAGTTCACTGCATGATTTCCTAAAAGGCATTAGGCTTTCTCAACCATCTATCTATAAGGAATCAATGGGAGGTATTTTCAAATGCTAATATGCACAACATTGCTATGATTTTAGAGTTATGTATTAACACCCGACACCCCAAAACAACTAGATAGGAACAGATCCAACTCCTCAATATGGAAAGCTCTGGGCGAACATGCAAGATTCGTTGGGCTCCAGACTTGAGGTCAAGTTCACCTCAAATGCAAACTTAATGCATCATGAAAGTGTAAGTGGGCGAGGAATTGTCCACTAAAGTGTGTAGGGGCATGCCATTTCAATAACCATCCACAAGACAAACAAAGAAACAATAATATCCCAAGGCAAGTAGATAAAGCATCTAATATATATAGCACCCACAAACAATCCTACTTATAGAGCAAGAAAAGACTCGCTTAATATTCCAATGCCAAGTGCAAAAGGTCAGTTCATAGAGCATCCAACACTCAGCATGCAACAAGATATATATAAGCACATAAGAAGGAAGAAACTCACCCAATGCTCCATTGCCAAGTGAATAGGTAAGTACATCCACATGCAAGTAAATAAGATGATGCATGATGTATAAGCATTTGAAAGAATGATGCATGAACATGTGAGGAGGCATGATACATGAATCATGTGAGCAAGGTATGATGCATAACACATATGGCAAACTAAGACACAAAGGGACAAAAAGGAAAAAACACCAAGTAGAGAATTAAGCAAACAAATAAGACTCAACAAGGAAAGACCCAAAAACCAAGGAAAAATCGAGAGATGAAAAATCTCCAAGATTAAAGTATTAACTCAACCCTCATGAACCCAAATATATGGATAAACCCAAGATTCTGGATTCAATCCCCAGTGGAGTTGCCAAATTGTTGACACCCCACTTAAAATTTCAAAATATAGAATAATATTTGAAAAATTACAATGTTTTAAAGCCCAACCCAATGATTGACCTATTTTGGTCACTAAATTTGATTTAATCGGTTAGACTAGTCTAACCAACCAATTAACCAATTAACATAATAAATATTATATAATTCATCTTATCAATTATAAATTATTTTTAGTTTAATTGATTTTATTTTTAAAATTGATTGAAAACATTTTTATATTTATCGATCAAAGTAAATATTAATTTTTATCACATTATTTTCAAAATTTATTAATTTGAAATTAATTTCATTCATTAAATTTATTAAAATATATAATATATTTTTCTTTAATAGGCATCTAAAACATTAATATCATATCAATTATAAAATTATTTTTTCTTTATATTGATTTTATTTTCAAAATTGCTTGAGATTAGTCTTAATTTTAAATTGATTTCATACAATTTTATTTTTAAAAAGATTTCATTCATTTTATTATCTAAAGTAATAATTGGTTTTATTTCCAAAATTA